GTATATGTATATGTATAGGTGTATGTATGTATGTATGTATGTATGTATGTATGTATGTGTATGTATGTGTATGTATGCATGCATGCATGCATGCATGCATGCATGCATGTATGTATGTATGTATGTATGCATGCATGTATGTATGTATGTATGTATGTATGTATGTATGTATACATGCATGTATGTATGTATGTATGCATGTATGTATGTAGGTATGCATGTATGTATGTATGTATGTATGTATGTATGTATGTATGTATGCATGCATGCATGCATGCATGTATGTATGTATGTATGTATGTATGTAGGTACGTATGTATGCATGTATGTATGTATGTATTTCTGTTTGTATGTATGCATGTATGTAATGTATGTAATGTATGTAATGCATGTAATGTATATAATGTATGTAATGTATGTAATGTATGTAATGTATGTAATGTCTGTTATATATGTTATGTTTGTATGTATGTATGCATGTATGCATGCATGCATGTATGTATGTATGTATGTATGTATATATACATATATAGAGAGACAGAGAGATAGAGAGAGAGAGAGAGAGAGAGAAACAAAAGAGAGATATTAGTTCGCAAGAGCGCGGGCGCAGTTTTTTTTTTGAAAGCCGCTTGGTTGCGAAACCATGTTTGTGATGCGTTCGTGTCTCTCGATTTGAAATCCTCACGAATACTGAGGTTTTTGAAGGATTTCGGCATGCGCGCGTGACGACGCGCGCGTGTGCACGTTGATAAACGAATGCGCGCGTATATTTTTCTGGCGAAGGATGAGGGGGGGGTTGCTACCCGGCCTGGCTGGGATGGTATGAGTTCATCCTTTGGATGGGCGATGGGGCAGAATGATACGTACATTCAATACGAAAAAGTGGCCCGTTAACCCTGGAGAAGGGAGGGGGTATATCCTAATCATAGTGAGGTGGCCGAACGGTTATTCATAGTCGCTGGGTGCGTGGCTGAAGTAAGAATCCGTGTTGAGGATTCTCTGCTTGTTGCGTTGTCGTTGTTGTTGCCATTGCTGTTGCTGTTGCTGTTGTTTGTAGTCGTCGCCTCCCCCGCGACCCACCCCGCGACCCACCCCGCGACCCACCCCGCGACCCATCCCGCGACCCACCCCGCGACCCACCCCGCGACCCACCCGCGACCCAACCCGCGACCCACCCCGCGACCCACCCCGCGACCCACCCCGCGACCCACCTCGCGACCAACCCGCGACCCAACCCGCGACCCACCCGCGACCCCGCGACCCACCCCCTACCCACCCGCGACCCCCCCCGCGATCCACCCGACCGCGACCACCCCGCGACGCACCCCGCGACCCACCCCCGACCCCGCGACCCAACCCGCGACCCACCCGCGACCACCCCGCGACCCACCCGCGACCCACCCGCGACCCACCCGCGACCGATCCACATTGGTTGTGAAAAAAATCGGCGCCTGCGGCGGGCTCTTTGTATAATTTGTGAACCGTTGGCGCCTGCGGCGGGCCCTTTTGGAGTCTCGCAGACTTCCGCCGCTCCCGCCGCCCCCTCACTCCTATCCGCCTCTGCGGGGCGCTACGTATTCTTTGCGGAAAAAGGAGAGCATTTGTTGTGCAATCTCTGTGGTGCAATCTTCGTTGAGTGGTGCAGTGTATGTTGGACAACTTATGTGGAGCAATCTATGTTGTGCTGTGGATCGATCCTTTTTAGTGCAAAAACTCGGACCTACCACCCGCCCCCCGGGATGATCGGTCCCCCTGAAGATGTGCGGCTTAATACGATTGTGCCCCCTTTCATTTCCATTATGAACTCGTATCGTCCCAGCCAAGCTGTATCGACCCACCCATCACCCTTTCCAGATAATATCATACGCGAGCACCAGCAGCAGCACCAGGAGCAACAACAACAGCAGCAACAACAACAGCAACAACAACAACAACACTACCACCACCAACAACAACAACAGCAACAACACCAACAACATCAATAACAACGCAACCAACATAATCCTCACCACGGGTTCTCACTTCAGCCACGCACTCAAGGACAGTGAGTGACCGTTCGTCGGCCGCGCGCGCATGTAGAAATCCTTCCATACGGTTCATCACCAACTTGTGTACACCATCATTGTCACCCGCGTGATCAGCGTTGGCGCCGTCATTGAATTTGCCGCCGTCATCGTCATCGTCATCGTCATCACAAGCATGGCTACTATCTTCGCCGTGTCTGCCGTTGTCGGCGTCGCCATGGTACCGCGCCAGCCTGAGTCACCGACTCGCACTGACGTGCCCGCGCGCCAGCGCGGCACTTCGAGGCGCGTTGGGAAATCCCCAGCGGTCAGCGCCACCGCGGCCGCGTCGGTCGCGCCAGACTGGCTGGCTCTGCTCTGCGCGCGAGCCTGCACGCGCTAGCGCGGCCGCGGCCATGCGCCAGCCAGCGCCAAGCAGTCATCGTAATCGCCGCGGCATTGGTTTTGCAAGCCAAATTTCGGATGGGAGGTTGGGGTGACCGCGCGTGCGATGGAGTAGTCCGCTTCCACTTTGGCATGTTGAATTGCGTCCCGTATCTTGCATCGCATCATCTACTAGAACACGCCTTTCGGGGTTCACGCTGGCAAACGGCAGGCTTATTTTGGTATCTTTGTATGTTATATGTGTGTATGTATGAATATATGTATACATGTACGGATATATGTACTCACGTGTTCTCTGAGTGTATATATATATATACATGTACATTCATGTGTACACACATACGTACGTACGTACGTGCGTATAAATGTATGTTTGTATATTCCCCATTCAGAGCTTGCCTCTGTATGGGTCCTAGCGGATTAAAGGATTAGGTGAGAGGTGCGGCCGATTTCGGTGGCCGGGCCCGGGTGCCCAGGGGTGCCCGGGTGCCCGGCGGTGCCCGGGTGCCCGGGTGGCCGGTGAGGTTGGTCGCCGATTTCGGTGGCCGGGCCCGGGTGCCCGGGTGCCCGGGGTGCCCAATAGCATATAGCCCAATAGCCTTATAGCCCTATAGTTTTCTAACCCCATAGCCCTATAGCCCTCTAGCCCTACAGCCCTATAGCCCAATAACCCTATAGCCCTATAGCCCTATAGCCCCATAGCCTTATAGCCCTATAGCCCTATAGCTCTACAGCCTTATAGCCTTTATAGCCCAATATCCCAATAGCCCAATAGTCCTATTGCCCTATAGCCTCATAACCTTGTAGCTTTATAGCCCTACAGCCCCATAGCCCCAACAACAATCTTTTTTTTTTTTTTTTGTTTTGTTTTCTCTGGTGTCAGGCTTATATGTAGATATGTGTTGATGGGTTGTATATATATATATATGTGTATACATGTAGAACGTTCTGGGTGTCTATTTACAAACATGTATATATATATATATATATATATATAGATATGTCTGCATGCTTATATGTAAATTCGTATGTTGCTGTAGACGTATATGTATGGATACATATATACGCACATGTGTAACTCCCTGTGCTTGTATGTATATGTGTATATGCATGTATATATATATGTATGTGCATGTTTATGTATATGCGGAAGTGTATGTCTTTGTTTTCGCCTGTATATTTATAGGGGTGTGTATGCTTCCACGTGCATGTATATGTATAAGAATCTGTATATATATATATAAGTGCATATGTCTATGTTTGGGTACATGTAGACTGTGTATGTTCATGTACATGGCACAGGTATCGGCATACGTGTATGTATATGTACATGTAATTCAACATGTCTGCGCATGTGTATTCGAACATGTATATGTGTATGTAGATGTGTATGCATCTTTGGATGTATGTGTATAGGTATATATGTTTATGTGCATATGCAGCTGTATACGAATAGGTATATGGATGTGCATATGAATATGTATATGTATATGTATATGTATATGTATATGTATATGTATATGTATATGTATATGTATATGTATAGGTGTATGTGTATGTGCATGTGTATGTCTGTATGTGCGCATGCATTTGTAAATGTTCATATATATATATGTGGATGTCTATGTACGTGTTCATATGTATTTGTACATGCACAGGTGTTTGCATATGGATATGCATGTATATACATATGTGTGTATATGTATACTCATGTATATGTGTAGCTGTATATGTATATGTATAGGAAGATGTAAGGACATACGTGCCTATATGGCTATATGTATATGTATACGTAAATATATACGTTAATTCACATGTGTATGTATTTGCATAGTTATGTGTATATGCATATGTATATGTATATGTATATGCACTTGTACTTGTAATTGTACTTGTATTTGTACTTGCATTTGTTTTTGAACATGTATTTGTATGTGCATTTGTACATGCATTTGTATATGTATATGCTTATGTACATGTGTAGGTATATGTACTTGTGCATATAGATATATGTATATATATACATATGTATTCATAGTCTCCCCCCAGGCGCTCTCAGATTCCGCTGGAATCTTTTCAGAACCTGGTGCCCCTCGCAATCCAGAAGCCCACATGATTGCGAAGTGCCCCGCAGGACCCCTCACAAAGCTTTCAGAGACCCCGCCCTTGCAGAGCTTTCCAGAATCCACGTCGCACGCTCCCCAAACCCCCCACCCTTCGTACTCTCGCTGTCGCCGTCGGCGTCGGCGTCGGCGTCGGCGTCGGCGTCGCCGTCGTCGTCATCGTCGCCGTCGCTGTCGCCGCCGCCGCTGCCGCCGCCGCCGCCTCCGTCGCCACTGCCGCCGCCGCCGCCGTCATCGTCGTCATCGTCGTCGTCGTCGTCGCGTTGTCGTCGTCGTCGGCGTGGTCGTAGTCGTCGTCGTCGTCGTCGTCGTCGTCGTCGTCGTCGTCGTCGTGGCCATCTTCGTTGCCGTCGTCGTGGCCGTCGTCGTCGTCGTCGTCGTCGTCGTCGTCGTCGTCGTCGTGGCTGTCGTGGTCGTCGTCGTGCGGCGATGCCGGCGGCGGCGGCGGCGACCGCCAGCGCCCGTCGAGGTCTCGCGCTCCCAGCTCGGGCTTGGCGCGGCGTTCCGGGCGGTGCTGTGCGAGCGAGGATCCGCTGCCCCCCCTCAGGGAGGGAGGATGTAGGGGGCGATGATGATAATGATGGTGATGCTGATGATGATGATGCTGATGATGATGACCATACTGATGATGATGATGATAATGATGATGATGATGATGATGATGATGATGATGATGATGATGATGATGATGATGATGGTGGTGGTGGTGGTGATGATGATGATGACGACACGACGAGGAGAAAGAGGAGGAGGACAAGGAGGTGGAGGAGGACGAGGAGATGATGATCGAGGATTCAGGATCGAGGAGGGAGCGAGGGAAAGAGGATGATGAGAAGAAGGATCAGGCACGGGCGGACAGGGGCCACAGAGGCAGGGGCCAAAGGGCATTTTAAAAGCAGGGGCCCGCAAAGGGAGCAGCAAAAGGAAGGCAATGTGTATGCGCATTGGCGTAGACGTTTCCCCAAGCAATTGTGACGGCCGCTCTGTAGAGAACCAGGATGTAGAGTAGTATTCGGGTCCCTCCATCTCCTCCGACCCTTCTTCTTCCCTCCACCCGTCTGACGCATCTGCGCCATCTACAGTGTCTTTTCTATTCTACCCTCTGGGCCATAACGAGTGTTATGCTTCCCCCTCCCCTCCGCATAACGTAACGCTCTCCCCCCGCCAATGCGTCCCCGGCACTGCCGCAGTGCGCCTGGCACCACATTCTGTCACAGTGGGGGGCGGGGGCGTTACGGTACTGCGATTGCCGCGAGTAAAAGATTTTCTTTCCGTGGAGCGCAAGGTGTGGGAGCAACGCCATGCCATTGAAAGGTTGCAATGCAGTCATTCGCTGTTGCAGGTGCAACGTGTAGTTGTTGCACATGCGACGCTTTCCGGCTGCGACCTAGGTGTCTGGATTCTGCACATGCTTGGGCCGTTGCAGGCGCAGATTTTCTCGCCGCTACTCTGCAACGGCTGGGCTCTCAGCATGCGCAGGGTGCGTTGTGTCGGGCTGCCAGGTCTTGCGTGACCGGGCAGGCCTCAAGGGAGGAATAAACCATCCCGACCCGTAATCGGCGTTTACCAGATGGCCCTGGGCATTTACTAAATTGCCCTGCCCGCTTCGATTCCTTTCTTGGGTGCATTTGCTAAATGGCTTCGCTTGTCAGGCTGCTTATTTTTTTGTGCTGTCTAAGGCCTCAAGGCGTCGTCGGACGGGAGCTCCTGAGCATACCCCCGCCCGCTTGCTGAGGCACTCTCGGGCTGATGCGCGGCTCCGCCGTCATCGGGGCCGGGTGTGTGCCCGCGCACGTGGGCCTGTTCGGGACCTACGAGCTGAGCATGGCGAGGCACGCGCGCTGCAGGCGGAGGTCAGGGAGGAAGGCGGAGGAGGAGGAAGGCGGAGGAGGAGGAGGAGGAGGAGGAGGAGGAGGAGGAGGAGGAGGAGGAGGAGGAGGAGGAGGAGGAGGAGGAGCAGGAGGAGAGGAGGAGGAGGAGGAGGAGGAGGAGGAGAGGAGGAGAGGGGGTAGGGGGAGGAGGAGGAGGAGGGAGTCGGAGAGGGAGGAGGGAGGAGGGAGGAGGGAGGTGGAGGAGGGAGAGGGAGGAGGAGTAGGGAGGAGGAGGAGGTAGGGAGGGAGGGATGGAGGGAGGGAGGGAGGGAGGGAGGGAGGGATGGGAGAGGAGGAGGAGGGGGAGGGGGGGAGGGGGAAGAGGAGGAGGAAGGAACGGAGGGGGAGACGAGGAAGGAGGGAGGGAAGGGAGGAGGAGGAGGGCCGGCTGAGGAGGAGGAAAAGGACGAGGAGGGGGAGGAGGATGGGCGGGAGGAGAGGACGAGAGGAGGAGGAAGATGAGGAGGAGAGGAGGAGGAGGAGGAGAGGGTAAGGAGGTCAGGAGGAGGACGAGGTGGAGGGAAGAGGAGG